TTTTGGAATGGAGTCCCATAATATAATCAAGCCAAAATGAAGGCCGCAACTATTTCGGAACAGAGTAGTAGATGACAAGTCGCCATACAAAAACCAAGATATAACTGGCCATAGCGCAGTCCCTTTACCAAAACCTGCTTAGAGTAAGCACAAATGATGCTCAAACGCGATATCAAGTGGAACGTGTTTGCAATGTTTGATGTACATTCATCGACTGGGTGGCGCGTCTGGAAGCTCGGGAACGACAGCAAGTCCAAGGAAGCAGCGACCAACGTGTCCACTCACAAACATCGCTCTGGGCGAAAGCAACGCTACACCATGGACGACATTGAACAACGCATCAAAGGAACTCCTCTTTACCGCCGCCAATCTCAACGCTCGCTCGCCAAAGTCACTGGTCTATCGCAATGGTCAATTTGGGACTTCATTCGCAAGAAGTGGATCACTGTACGAACGAGTTGGTCGAAACCAAAGCTTACCCAAGAGCACAATCTCAGTGAAAATCATTTTGTAGCGAGCATTTGTTGGAGCGCGGTAAACGTCAGTACAACGACATGTTCAATGTTGTTCATATTGATGAAAAATGATTTTACTTGACCAAGGTTCGCGGTCGATTTTAAACGTGGCATGATGAACCGGTTCCCACACACCACTTTAAGTCGAAGATGCACGTCAAAAAAGTGATGTTCTTGGTTGCGGTGGCCCGACCACGACAAGGATGGGACGGCGAAGTGGGTTGCTGACCTCTGGTCGAGACAACTCTTGCTCAACGTCGGAGTTGGAATTGTCCTGGGACGTCGATTTGTCGACCGTGACCGCGACAAAGCCTGTGTACTGCGACTTGTTCAGCGCGTGCTTGTGCTTCCTGCGATCAAAAGGCAGTGTGTTTGCGCAAATGATGACACGGACGGCACAATATACGTACAGCATGACAACGCCCGGCTGCACATTTCCGTTGACGACGCTGGTTTTGCCGCTGCTGCCGCTTCTGGTGGTTGGAAGATCAAGTTGACATGCCAGCCTCCCCAGTCGCCGGATCTGAATATACTCGACCTTGGGTTTTTCAACTCTGTTCAGTCTCTTCAGCAGCAGATGGAGTGCCGATCAATGGCGGAACTCATCCACGCAGTTGACGATTCTTTCAAGTAATTGCTTCAAGAATCATAGGGTAGGAACATTGGATACGTTCCTTACATGGAAGCGTGTGATGCGTAGGGTCATTCACATCAAAGGTGACAACTCGTACAAGATATTTCGGAGCAAGGTAACGCAGTTGGATGTTGATGCAATGGAATTGCTGAATGCGCAGCTTGAGGACGAGGATCGCATGGATGAGCTTGCCGACCTGGTCAATGCGATGCCAGTGTTAAATGTTTTACATGCGGATTCATTGTACTTCAAATTTGTATACCCCGGAATGTTCACCAGTACTTTTACCTAGTCAGAGGTAGTATTAAAGAAATCAACAATGCGGATCAGACAGGAATTCCAAAAATAACAATTGATGATGCGGGGTCCAAAAATAACAATTGATGATGCGCGGTGAAAGACCCTGTGGATGCGTTGTTGAGGACACGACAAGGACCGTATCATGGCGATGCTACTGGCCGACACGGGCATAGTTGGAAATTTGACAGATTTAGAAACAAATTTTGTTGCTGCTGGCCGACACCAAGGGCTGTCGCCGCGACGGCGGAAGTGGCGACAGTGGCGATCAGTTTGGCACAAATTATTCCATGTTCTTGGTCCTAAAGTCAAAAGCGTCAAATAACAAAGAGAAAATGGTCGAGAACCTGACGCAACGAAACGGCTTTGGGTCTGTCGTGTGGCCCGAAATCGAAGAGCTCCACGTAATGAGAAGTAACCCAGTTTGGATTTGCATTGCTTCCCGTAAGGAAGACGCCTTACGGACAAAGAAGGCGCGGACTCACAACATGGCTCGACTGGCAGCTAGTTTGCAAGTAGTAAAGGCGAAATGCAACTCATGCCGGATTATTCGTTGTAAGGACCGTTCAGTTGAATCATCGTGGACGCACTCGGGCCACTACCTGCCTCAAACAAGGGCAGCAAGTATATCCTCATCTTCGCCGACTACATCACTCGGTGGTGGAAGCCTTCGCCGTACCGGACTTGAAGACGTCCACATTCGCTCGAGTCTTGAAACGAAGTACTTTGCGGATTCGGTGTACCCGAAAGGCTACTGACTGATTGTGGAGCTAACTTCGTGTCTGAACTCGCCACCACCTTGAACACCACGCACGGACTCCATAAGCTGGCTAGCGCGGATAACACCCCAAAGTCAGGGGCTCGTTGGGCGATTCAAGCACACGATGTCCAGATGCTCAAGATCTATGTGAACGGTCTGCAGTCCGATTGTGACACGTATCAGCCCCGACTCGTGTTCGCCTACCGTACCTCTTACCACGAAACCCTGGGAGACTTGCCATACTTCTGTCTATTTGGACGTGACCCTACGCCACCTCTCGATTTACCGTACCTCAGCGTAGGCGCCGCATGGTAGTCCGATCACATGACGCCATATAAACGACGCCTAGTCACGTCCTGGAAAGAGATTCACTGGCTGGTTGAGCATCAACTTATCGCGGGTCAGAAAAAGAACGCGAAGGGCAAGTCCGACCAAAATCCCGTCGATTATGACGACCTGAAGGCGGTCTGGCTGACTATTACTTCGTCACGTTGGCCAGCCCGAACGACCACCGGTATGCTACTAGCATGAACCCCATCGAATTGACCGCACGATTGGTCCGAACATGTACATAATCGACATACCGACGCACTCGGACAAGATGGTGACGGTGAATGTAGACCGAATCAATCCCTTCCGCGGCTATTACTCTCGGCCATTCAACGATGACATCCCGGACGACGACCCCCCGACCGACCAACTCACGGGGGACTGTCTACCTGAATGCAGCTTCACCACTTGTGTGCAATGTTGGCATTTAAACGGATAATGCAATAATATAAACGTTATAAAGCGTTTAAATCGTTTAAATCGGTGTTTAAACGTTTTAAATAAAATCTTTGAACGTATGGGTTTCGACGATGGAGGCCGACAGACTATTCTCCGCCATGAACTTAGGATCAAGCGGTGAAACTGGTCTTTGATGATGGGCGGCGCGATGTACCGCGACATGGATTGTTGGCGACCTGCCGTTTCATTGATGACTGCGAGTGTGTCGGACCGAGAAGCGGCGGCCCGCTGCTACCAGATCGCATCGCACCAATTTAGTTGTATGATGGCGCTGTATCACGCTACGGTGCTAACATGCATTTGCGGAGGTGCGCTTCCATCGCGTTTTTTCCAGCCGGTCAGACGGCTGGTGGTTTATGGCGCCTTGCACGAGGGGTAGTACCGTCATCCACTGAGTTGCTGGGAGTCGCCATTCGCTCAGCAGTGCCTTCGTTGCCCGGAGTAGCATCCGGTTTACGACCTCGACAGATCCGTTTGCCCAGGGGCTGTACGCCGACGTCACGTGATGGTGGGCGCCAACTAGCATGCGCACCTTTTCAACCACCTCGTTCTTGAAATGGGACCCGCCGTCGGAGACCCATGTCGCGACCGTCCCGAACGTAGTGAACCAGTCCATGAGGGCGGCGGCCGTTGCAGTCGAGTCTGCAGTCCGGGACAGGAACAACCGAACAAAGCCACTCATGTCGTCCTTGACTACGAGGACGTGCTTCAAGCCTTCGTCTGACTTGGGCAAGGTCAGCCAGTCAAAATGGATGAGCTCGTTGGGACGTTCGGCGTGCAAGGCTGAACCCAGGGGGCTGGGCACCATGTCACCGTCCACACACATGCATGTAGGCACCCCGTGACGAAGCCGGCCACGTCGGTCTTGAGATTGGTCCACTCGAACTTCGCCGCGACGGCCTGTGTCGTCGCCGCCACCCGACGGTGGCCAGCAGCACATTGGTGGGCGATCACGCAGAGCCTCTGTTGGAAGTCCAGGTCGTCGTCCGGGACCCAAATCTTGTCTCCCGGACTGACATAAAATTTGATGTCGTCGTCCCAAGGAACTCCAGGGGGAGGCTGACCGTCGTCCTGGAGGCCATTCTTCTGGGACTTAAGGACCGAGTGAGCTGTCGGCCACTCGAAATCCTTGTGACGCAGGGGTGATACTAATGCTGCGAGACGCCGCACACGAACCACCGCTGGCGCACCCCAGCGACTAAGTAGGTCACCCCACACGTTGTCTTCACACTGACTCAATGGTGTACGGGAAGGTGGACATCACCAGCGCCCAGCGCTGCAGCTTGTCAGCCTGATACCTGGCCATGTTGGGACTTTGGCCACGCGGGTTGAAGATGAAAACCAAGTTGCGGTGGTCCGTGAACAGAAGGAATCCACCAGGTCGGATCAACAGATAGTCGAGGCGCTTGCACGCCTCGACCACGGCGAACGCCTCCTTCTCAACAATAGGCCAGCGCGAACTGGCCAAGACAAACGAGCCGCTTAGAAACGCTAGGGGCTCGTGGCGTTGCTCAGACAGGGGCAGCTCTAGGTCCTCGGGTGGGACTTGGGTCGCAATCGCGCCCCAGAATCCGTCGCACGCGTCCTTAAAAAGACATACGGCCATGTCTTCTCGGGGGTGACTCAGCGGTACGATGCTGGTCAGGGCCTTTTCACAGCCTCAAAGCACATCGTGCGCTCGGCGGCCCACCCCATGGCGCTGACCGGTATCTTGGCCAAGGCCGATTTCTTAGCGCTCCGTGACAGTTTCGAGCCCACGTCCAGGAATCGACGCAAGAGATCGACGAGCTGGCTGTACTCGGGGATGCTCGACCGCATCCAATTGGTGGCACAGATGAACTGCTGGAGGTCTGCGGCGGTAGTTGGCAGCGCCAATTCGCACAACCCTCGAACTCGAGCAGGGGAGTGGGTCACGCCGGCAGACGAGATAACTTTGCCACACCATTCAGCCTCGCGGAGGAAGAACGAGCATTTCTTCGGATGCAGCTTCAACCCGAAGGACTCGCAAATCTCCAGGACCTGCTCCAACAGGTCAAACAGTCCCATCGGCGTGGTCGCCGCGCCCAGCAGATCGTCCAGCCAGGCAAGTAAGCCGCGAAATAGGAGCTCGCCGAACATTTGGTGGACAGCCGATTTACAAAACGCAACGGCGTCAGTCTGGCACATCAACACACGCTCGGCGTGAAGACGCCCCAGGGTGCCATGAAGGAGTTCAGCTCCTCGCTGGCTGGATGCAACGGCAGCTGCCAGTACCCCTTCGTCCAGTCCAGGGTAAAGTAGACCGAGGTGCCGATCAGAACGACCATCGCGGCGTCCAGGTTTGGCATCGGCCACGGCATAGGCACCGTACAGGCATTGATCGGACGACTGTCGATAGTCATCCGCAGATCGCCTGGGTCCTTCTTCGGCACAATCCGGGGCGCTGCAGCCCACGTCGCCCGGTTGTTTCGGTAGACTAGTCCAGCGTCTACGAGCTGGTCGACATGTCGCTTGAGGAACTTCACGTGGTCGGGTGGATAGCGACGCATCGAGCACTTGACAGGGATCGCGTCTGGCTTCAGGCGAACCTGTAGAGGCTCCACCTTGATCAGGGGGTCGCACCCGACATCCTTTCGAAACACATCGACGAACCTGGACAGCAGGTTCTCGAGGCGCTCAACCTCGTCCTGGCCCAGACCAAGGCTTCGCGCCTCCTCGACCTTCGACGCGAGGATAGCCTTCACCTCCAACTCGCATCTGCGTTGTCGGTCTTCCTTAGACTCTCCAGGTAGCGCATCCAGAACAGGGGTTTAGCATTCCATTCCCGCCTCGGGGTCAAAGTCCTGGACGGCTGGTCGGGATGCACACACCCGATTGACAGCAGCGTCTGCAGACGGCAGGAACTCGCTGTCAGACATGTCCCACTCAGGCTTGAGCGAGCGCGCGTTGACCAGGAGCGCGTCCGTTGAGAATCCTAGGGACTCCATCACCGGACGGCTGATAATCAGCGCGACGTCGTCGTCTGCGTCATCGTCGATTCAGACGGGTAAGCCACGTAACAGGAGAGGACCGCACGTCGTCGTGAGGGCCACGCTCAGGCGTAAGCGTCGTCTTAAGAGCACAGGCTTGGTCGCTTTGCCGTAAGGGTACAGGGCAGTCGGTGTGTCGTCCACCA